AGAGAGAGAGAGAGAGAGAGAGAGAGAGGTACTGAAAGTGAAGTGTTTAGTTCAAGACAAGCCAGCTATTGAACACAAAGATCGCATCCAGGAGTCCTGTGCACTTGCTAGGAGAGCATCATGTCCCACACAAACACAATGAAATTTCAAAATTTGTTGTTGCTTTTATTTTCTTGTCATCTGCGTGCATCCTCATTAAAATACATATCTGATTTATACTTCTACTTTAACATGTAACTAAGACTATCTGATGATGAAGTAACAGTTACCATCTAACATTACTTCTAAAATAGAACTTACTTTATTTAAACCACCTTTATTTGAATATATTAATCACTAATTACTGTTTTATGAGATTTTTGAGATGACATGACAACACAGATAATTACAATTTATTTGAAGCACTATCATTAAATTCATTAGCTTGCTTCAAAGACATAACCTGGGAAAGCAGACACCTTTCTGTTCCACACAATTTAAATAACTAGCTGAGTGCAAAATATTCTTGATAACTTGAAACTTGCCTATATTTGAGATAATTTCTTGAAGGAACAAAAAAAATACAAACCATCCGCTTTGTGTGATTGATAACTTACTAAAATATTGTTTTCAATGTATTCAGTCTTTTGGGACAAAAGCATCACTGTGACAACCAAGTCAGAGACATATCAGAGAAATGTAGTTTTAGCAAATGTATGCATACCATTTAACTTTCAAGACATTTTTGAGTTATTTTACAAAAAAAAGTTGAGTTAAACAGGAATACGTCTCTTTCATAGACAGACTCAACATGATTTTTATTCTCTCTTAAACCCTGAGAAGAGATCCATATGCAGTGAACTACATTTTTAAGCAAACAGTTCTTGCTGATAAAATGAAGATGTAATCTTGATATGCAAAATACTTCTCTTTACCAGTTTACAAGGAAATCTATAACAGCTAGAAATGAGAATTTATCAATCAAATCTAAGGCAGTTCAAAGGTCAACCAATCTTTATGGGTAAGTTTTTCAACATTCTTTTCAAACTCCAGATTTCCTAGCTCACTGAATCTTTTTAATTTTCTGTCATTGCTAAAACATGATCTTTTTTTTACCTAGACACTTGAATCTATATCAATATCTGGCAAGATTAACAAAATTCAGATTGCACCAGTAATATATCTTTTTTCCTTCACAAAACCTAATCTCAATCATCCTACTGCCTGTAACCAGGCCCTTCATCTAAGAGTTGTGTGAGAGACAAAGGCTTTTATCACTTACTTTTCATTTCTTGTCCATCTTTACTTTAAGCCTCTAAGTCTCTGGTAATATTTCTAATTGAAGAGCATGTTTGCAAGCTAATCATAACCTTCCTTCTTAACCCTTCAACTCCCATAAGTGATCAAGAGAAAAAATTCTCCTAACAAAATCAACACAAAATCAAACAGACAAGTGATGAGAACAAAGTGAAAAAAATTCAATCAGGAAAATTATTAGTAAATCCTCTACCAAATTCTCATTACTAATTTCATAGGAACTGTATGGCAGGAAGCAAGGAGGATTTTCAATAAGATCTTGGGAATGAAAGGCTAAATTTTACCACCTCAATGAATTTCCCAGAGCCTTTCCCCAAGTTCACCCTTACATCTGCTATTGAAAAGATCGAAAAGGAAGGAAATATATGCGAACATGAATTGGACATTTTGTATGCATCAGTATCGTCAAAATGAAAACCGAGATAAGGAAATGTTCATCAACCATTCGACGCCTCCATATATTCAACATCCGATTTTAATTTTAAGTAAAATAGAAATAAATGTTAAAAACTAAATATCACCAGACTATTCACAGCAACCTGAACTTTCTCTCTGAGTAACTCTAGATAAATTTACTCCCTCAGTGGCAGAGAAATCACTTTTTGCTTTGGTTTGTTCCAATTCGTTCAGTCTCTTGACGGCTGCATGGAAGGCATTGTCCACATTCGTCGAGTCTTTTGCGCTTGTTTCGTAGTAAGGAATTCCACCGATCTCCAGACAAAAGTTATGCGCTTCTTCTTGCGTCACAACCCTCTCTTCAACGTCAATTTTATTTCCCAAAAGAATAAACGGAAAGGTGTCCTTGTCTTTCACATCAGCGTAATACAGAAATTCCTTCCGCCACATTGCCAAATTTTTGAAGCTTTGAACATCGTCAACGGCGTAAACAAGCAAACACAAGTCTGATCCCCGATAAAAAGGCGTCCTTAAGCTTTTAAACCTTTCTTGGCCAGCTGTATCCCAGATCTGTAAGGTGTAAGACTGTCCTTCGACATTCACATCTTTATTCAAGAACTCCACTCCAATTGTGTGGAAGGATTGCGTGTCGAACTTGCCGCTTACAAATCGGTTCATCAGTGAAGACTTTCCAACACCGCCATCCCCGAGCAGAACAACTTTTAGAAACGTTGACTTGCTAGACATTCTGATTCGCCGTAGCGTACAAATTAACAAATCATACCGGGAGAAGAGACAAGAACAACTTATGTACCTCTGATTGCCTTCGTTCCTTCAAATTAGCTGAGCATCACGTGATAGAGCAGAGAGTGAGACACTCCGGTTCGAAGTGAGTGATGGGTAACTCTGTTTCAGGTTCAAAATAGCAAGTTACTTTTGAGGAACACGAGGTACACGCCTAACAATTTTTGTTTTCGCAAGGTGAAAAGTCAAAGTTTGAGTGGAAAGTAAAGGAATTCTTGTCTTAACAGTAATATCATCAGAATAGCTTTCTAAAAATTGCTAGTAAGTCAGAAAAACAAGTTAGCCTGATATCCAAACAATATCCAGGCAAATTTGGCTGCCTCCTCAATGCCTAGCATAATAAAACTTCCATTTACAAATTTTGAGATAATTTAAAATTCAATGTAAACGCAGATTTTTTTATCTTTTTATTGGATCTGCAACTATATTCCACAAAACAACAAAATGAAATATCTGAAACGTTATTTCAATAATTATTTTTGGGAGGATAATGTTGTATTTGGAAAGATAGAGTGATTTCTGGAGTGCCCCAGTGGTGCTTGGTTATGCAAAAGACTTCTCTCACACTGGAATTAAGTGTAGCTATTGTACAAAAATGCCAAACACAAATTAAATGACTCATTTCAGGCTTAATACTCAAATAAGCAAGGAAACAGAGAGAATTTCTTTAAGGGAAAATGGAGCTGCATTTATTAAATTATTTTTGGCAAATTTTACACTTGATTTAAGCTATAAAACACAAAGTAATATAAACATTGCAGTTACTACATGACCACCAAATGAAGTGTGCCAAGTGGGAAACTTTTATTGTAAATTAAGTTACCAAATCAAGGCTGTGCTCTAACGGCGCCCGGTCGCCTGAGGCGACTAACATTTGGCCT